CTGCAAGCACGGAGAGAGGGAGGCCTGGGAGAATCCAGCCCTGCTGACACTTCCGTCTCAGACTTCTATCCTCCAGACTGTAAGAATTAAAAAATTCTGCAGGTTAAGCCTCCTAGACCATGGTACTTTGTTGTGGAAAGCTTAGCAAATTAGCACACAATGACTAATAGATTTTGAATTGCAAATCTGTTGTGAAGTAACGATTATACTGGTGTTAACACTATTCAGCTGGTACCTTGCTCCCCTACATACAGATGATGATATATGAGGATAAATAAAAGAATTGTTGCCAAAAAATTGGCCCCCATCCCTGATGAGCCAAATAACCCAGAAACAAAGTCTTGGAGCTTAGAAGAAAAGAGGCCATTTTATTGCTTTACCGGGCAAAGGGGTCTCACAGCAGGCTTGTGCCTTCAAAACTGTGAGCCCATCTTAGGGTTGGGGCTTCGTGATTATATAGTGAACAAACTGGAGAGTGAAAGGGGGTATCAGTCAACAAGAATCTCTGGTGAACTTCCTCCTGAATTTTGGCAAGTCTGTCCAGCATCATGGGACCATCCAGTGGTCTGGAGGGTCATCAGCCTGTGACCTTCTTTATCTAATCAGACTCATTAGGTGCCAGGAGGGACTTCGGAAGATCTGGTCACTCTCCTGAGGTGGTTGTCCCGTGACTCCCGTTCTAGGGGAATGACTCAGAATCCAAACATGATTGTCAATTTCAGTTGCCAGAGTGAGGTAAAACAAAAAGGAAAATTAATAACTCCAACTCTAGCTCTAACTCTAATTGTAACAATTGTCTTGGGGCTGGGGACAATGTCTGGTTAGTCAGATTTGCTGAGCATTTTAAAAGCAAACGGCAAGTGTAAGGTGAGGAATTAGCCTAAGCCCAGTCATTTTATTACTTCTCTTTCAGAATTACTCTCTAAATTAAAGAAAAATTAATTCCATTATCATGGACTCGTGCGCTTTAAAATCTGAATGAGTAGTTATACCAGAACTTTCTCCTGTAGGTTTGATAGAAACTTGAAACCTAGAAAGGTTTACATATTTGCTTTTTAAACAGTTTAAAATTTAATTGGCACCCTAGAGTTCAAAGTGATGCTTTAGACATGACAGTTAATTTCTCACTCAACTTCTACAGTGCTGACAAGGATGATTTTAATTTTCCCTTTATATAAAATTTTATACATGTTAAACAAGTAAATAAGTAAATAAAACTACCAAAGTCAAAACTGAGAAAAATATCTACACAACCCAGTCTTTGAGGTGTTCTAGTCAATTTGGTCTTACTTCATAGAGTGTTTTTATTTTAAATATGCACAATATATAATTTTTCAAAGAAACTAATAACAGCGTTTTTAGCACTTGCTGTGTATAAGGTCCTGTGCCAGTCACTCTACAAATACTGTATGTAAACATCAGAACAAATATGTGCTATAGATTTAGTTCTCCCAAATTGTAGATGTGGCAAAAGGGATTGAGAAAATTAAATTATTTGCCCAAGATTATATAACTAGTAATTAACAAATCCAGTATCAAGAGCTGTCAAATTCTAAATCTATGCTTCTAAGTAGAACAAAATTTTTTTTCAGAAGTATTTGCATGAAGGTGATTCCTAGATGATACATTTTAGACATATTGTATTCATATAAATATTTATGTGCATATACACTATGCATATTTGTATGTATACTATGTACATAAGAACATATACATATATATGAAAATGTGTATCTATACATATGTATGTGCATGCACATATATGTGTATTTATTTGTACTTTCACATACATTAATGGGCTTATTTTTCTATGTAAGCATGGTACATTTTGGAGCCCTGGGATATAGTCAAAGGGAAACATTCTAGAAAATAAAAAAAAATAATCAAAAGTCAGTTTAAGAATTTCACTTGCCCTCCTTGAGGTACTTTAGAGGATACTTCATCAAAAATTACAACATTATATAAATCTTTCCTTCACTCTCAAATTAGTAGAACCCTTAAATTACTCTTGAGATCTTCCTAGACAGCCCAGGAAATAATGTACTTTACCGCTTCAACTAATTAAAAGAAAAGCTCAATTCACTTGATGTAGAAAACTTTTGATAAAATTCCATGTGGATTTTGAGGTAAAAATTCCTAGATTGCAAGAAATAGAAGAAAATATTTTTAACTTGACAAATGGCATCCACTGAAACCTACACCTCCTTAGAAGAGAAATGATAGATGTAGTTGCATTAAATTAAATAATACAATAAACTTACCTAATATCCTAGTTTTTGCAGTGTTGTCTGAGAGATCTGAAGCACCTAAAATTAAAAGGAATTAACAAGCTCTGATAGCCAATTTATATATTAGATTTTGTTGAGCTGGGTTATTATAAATGCATAAAAATTATATGTTTATCTGAAGTATCCTTTGATTTGTGGTCAAAAATAACCAAATCACAGTGGTGCTTACAAGAGCTGAAATGGGTGCCACAGAACAAAGCTGAGACATAAATCTAGTGAAATAAAATGTCAGCATCATTACTGGGTGTAGAGTAACACAGAAGAACTGACACCTTGCCATTTGGTTTTCCTCTTTATTCACCAGCACGTCCTCAGCAAAGAACTGAGAGCACAATATCCTCTTGGAAGCTACACTCAAAGAAACTGTGAGCCAATTGCTGTAACCTAGATGAGAGCTGAGGATTTGAAGAAAGTTTATTTGGAGGACACAGAGGTGTCTGAAATGGAAGAAGGAACAAAAGTGTTTTTGTAGAAGGAAGAAGTAGAATCTTCATTCTGGGACTGGCAGAGTGGATCTGTAGTTCATGAATATTTGGAACATTAGGATGCTTCAAGTCTGAGCCAGTTGTGAAAGCATTTGATAATACTGTCCCATTGTCCTGAAGGTAATCATGAGGACTAGAGAGAGAGCCTTTAGAGAGGCAAGGAAGATTTAAAAATATTAGGGTAATATGCTTCTTATTCAAGAATGTGTAATTGTTAATTCTAAATATATTAACTCAACCAACACATTAAGAAGAAACTTGTTAAAGATAATTAATTATTGAGAGATACTCAGGTGAGAAATATATCAGACCATTAGAGATGGTATATATAGATTTTAATGTTTGTTGGTCAGATCTTATCAAATACATGTTATGATGGACAATTTTATTTGATGTTCTCAGTAATTCCCTATGGGGATTAGAAAGTTTCCATGTGAGTGGTTAAAAAAAAAAAAGAGAGAGATGAAAAGAAAAAAAAAACTGCTTTAATGATAAATTTCTCACTTGGATATATATAAGTCAAAAATTAGCTCTTGAAATAATCTGGCTATTAGTAGAAGTGCTTCACACTGGAAGGATTATAGTTTTATACATATATATATATATATGTGCATAATATATATTTAAAGAGATTTAAGGAATTTCACACATTGAAAATTTGTAGAACTCTAATAATATTTCGGAAGAATGTACCCCAAAGAGAAAAATGGAAACAAATAAATATAATACAATCAGTAACACATACCTGATCTCCACAAATCTCCACTTTTGACTTAATGATGAAGGAGCATAAAGGTGTTAGATCACCAAGTACATTCGTTTTCTAGGACTGCCATAACAAAGTACCACAAAATGAGTGGCTTAAACAACAGAAATGTATTGTCCCACTGTTCTGGAGGCAAGAAGTATGAGATTAAGATGTCAGCAGGGTTGCTTCCTTCTGAAGTCTGTGAGGAAGAACTTTGTTCATCCCTCTCTCCTAGCTCTCACAGCTTGCTGGCAATCTTTAGTGTTGCTTGGCTTGCAGAAGCATTGCCATAATCTCTGCTTTCATCTTCACATTGTGTTCTCACTTTGTGCATGTCTTGTCTCCAAATTTCTCCCCATTTTCAGGTTACCAGTTACATTGTTTTGGAGCCTGCCTTAATGACCTCATTTTACTAAATTATCTCTACAGAGACCCTATCTCAAAATGATGTCACATTCTGGGATACTGAGTATTAGGAATTCAATATATAAATTTTTGAAGGATGCCTATTATGCTCCTAAACTAGCAATAAATATCCTGTTGTCTATTTAAAGGGGGTGGGAGGACAGCATAATAGAAAGAGATCGGAAAAATCTTACGTCAGCAGTGTGGTTCCAGGATGAAACATGGATAATCCAATCCTCTTATAGGATTTAGACGTTGTGATATGTCATACTTCGACTGGTCATTGGAAGGAAACCATATTTTCTTTATAAAGTAAAATCAGAGAAAAGGCTCAGGGAATTTATGGTTCCACCTTTTGGGTTGTTAACAGAAAAAAAGATGACTCAGATCTAGAACCCATATTGCGGTTCACACCTGCACTCCACATAAGGCTCTCATGGTTTTTCACTTTCCGCTAGTAAGAAATGCAAGAGGCTCATGGGAAAGAAGGAATAGGAGACAGAAGAACGTCTGTGGGATCTGGCAAGTTAGAGTCAAGTCAAGCCCATACTCCCATTGTGGAGATGAACAGCAATTCATTTTACAGATTATAATTTTGAAGAAGATGATTTTCAGATGAGAAATAAACCATCACCTCTTTACTGAATTAGTGAAAAATTGAGGGTTCTAATCCAAAGAGCCAGTGCAAACTCCTTGGAGATGTCACTGAAGAGTCTCCCCAAACCCGTATTAACATTTGATGGTCTGAGCTTGTCTGACAAGGACCCTTCCGTACAGCCAGACGCTGCATGGGACACGGCTCCTGTAGTGCCTGTATTTAGTCATCAAAAGAAAGATCCAAGAGATGCGCTACCATGAAATTGCTTTCAGCCCGAAAATTAAGTTTCTATGCAAAGTAAAATAACACCTGTACAGTGCTATAATTATTTTACATTTCTTAGATTTATGTTATGGAAAGATCTTTGCACACCTTTAATTTTGCAATCTCCACTCTGCCAATTATATGTTTGGTATGAGTCAAAAGTAGCCGTTTTGAAAGCTAAAGTAAATTCTAAGGATAAATGATCATATAGAATAGATCAAGAAAGTATAGAACTAAGCAAAAGGTACTTATTAAAGATTGGCCACTTGTGCTTTTGGGAGAGAGCTAAAATGTAAGTCCCACTAATGCTGTCTCCCACTTCCAGCTACATAATAAGCAGCAATGAAAATTTTACAGGGTGGTCTTGAATTTCTTGGAACAGGAATTTTCCTGTAGATTTCTGTGTTTTCCTGGAGATAATAGTCACAGGAAATGTTCTTTTGTTGGCTACATAGAGGACTAATTTCGGATCTTTTCAATTACGTAAGTACTTCCTGAGTAGTTCATAGGTTTTTTTTTTTTTAAATGCATTATATATAATGGTATCTCTTAAAAAGCTTAACTTCTGATAATACAAAAGTGATCTCTGTTTTGCCAAGCAAGGACCTTGGTCTTAACAAGCTGATAGGAACCCTGGGGCAGTGTATGTGACAGGCTCCAGGAAAGGCTCCTGCCCCCAGGCAGAGACCAATGCTTCACAAATATCTGGCTGTTAGGGATTTGTGTGCTCTGCATGGTTGTCTCTGTGTTGTCCTTGCAGTGGTAATGGTGGTGGTGGTTGTTAGGGAGAAGGTGACAAGCTAACCACAATCCTTTCACCATGTCCTGCCACATTTCTCAAAACCCACAGAGTTCTAGATGTGAATGTTGCTGGAGGTGTGGCGTCTTGGTGGCCAGACATTGATTTAGATTCACTTTCCCTTTTAGTAATAATATGCCCCTCTCTCAAGTGCTTAATAGAGCCCTAGGCATTTAATTCCCTTGCCAGACTATAGCATAGAGGTGACACAACATATTTACTAGGAAAATGAATAAACATTAAACTCACACTAAAGTGCTGCCTCATCCATATATTTTTATTTAAACTCTTACTTTTGAGGGATGAGAAAATGAGAAAGCCATTTGTTGCTCCCTTAGGAATTTCCAAGAAATAAAACAAATTTAGCTAGTCGACCCCTACTAAATTCACAAAGGTTAACCCAAACGTATCTCAGTTCTTCAATTTCCCCACTTTCTAAATGCGTTTGAAATCCTCTCTCACCATCTGCCCCAACAATCCAAGCCTTGAAAATGCATCTCCTATTCTGTCTGTCACAAAGTTTCCTGACTGGAATTTCCAAAAAGATTCTTGGGCTCACAAACTTAGTTGCTGGGTTTTTTTTCAATTTTTCAATCAACTTTTTGTTTTATTTCATGATTTGTAACTCCCTACAAACATAGCCATATAGGCAATTGAAGTCTAGAGAGTTTATGGAATACACGTACAATCCAACTCATCATTTACAACAAAATATTAGAAATCAGTTATCTTAGTTCAAGGATTAAATGCTTTCTACAAATCCTTTACTTTGTATAATTTCTACTGTTATTTATGAAATTTCTGATAAGGAAGTATACCATAGAAATATACACACTTAATAGGTTCAAGATATTGTAAGTTCAGTTGCACATCTGAGCTATGAAATTAGTTATTTTTATTTTTATTGAATTATGACAATGTAATTTGTTATTAGAAATGCAAGGTATGTAAAATACTCATGGTAATAGTTGTCTATTTACTTACAGAGTTCTGCCATAATAACAGAATTATGAAATTCTTCATTTATTGTGAAAAAGTAATCATATGAAATTGGAATTTGCTAATTACTGTCACTTTTAAACATATTTTCAGAAATAGAAAGCACAACAAGATTTTTTATTTTTCTAATTAATCACAACATATTGAAGCTGGGATAAGTGAAAACAAGTATTTGTTTATTCATTTATTCCATCACTCAAAATACTTCTAAAGGTTTTAAATTAGGCATCATTCCTCCTTCCATGAAGAGCATGGCCAAATGGGCAATACTCATTCATTCCTCTTGCCTTTAATTGATTAATTAAATGCTCCCTCTTTATCCTTGTCTCAAAATGTTAACTTAGAACGTGAGAGGAAAATCTGTTAAAATGCTGGGAACTAGTTTTCAATCAAATCAGCCAACCACTGGCATTTTTTAGCCAGTGATAATACACTCCATGTCTCCATTTGGTGCATTCTCAACTAAATCAGTAGTTTTTAACTTTGGCTGCACATTTGTATCATCTGGGTAGTGAGAGAGAGAGAGAAGGAGAGAGGAAATCATCTCTGGGTATAAATCCAGTATCTGTATTTTAAAAAAATCTTGCCAGGTTATGCTGATTGGCAGTTGAGAAGCACTTGCATGGTGGACAAAACAATGCTTATCAATTTAAACAGATATTCTGTAGTTGCATGTCATCTAGCACATTTTTATGACCATATATTTCCTGGTTATCCTTTATAGCTATTAGTAACTGCTTTTATCTACCTAATACAGATATCATGAGAATAATTGAAATTGTTTACAAACTTAAAATTAGAACATTTCTTTAAAATTACGAAATAAGCCTTAGCTATAATCATCAAGATAGTGACTAAAAAAGAAAATAAAAACAAAGTATGATTTGGTTTTATAATTGGCTCTTTAATAACACAAGACTGATTCTGCATATACACAGTAAAAGGCAACAGAAATCAGAATGTAAAGCAAATCTTTTTTGATTGGGGGAGTTTGCAAGAAATTATACAATCTATCAACAGTTATTACACTACTTCTGGAGAATAAATAACCTACAAGTAATCCTAATCCCAAACCGTATTGCCAAGTACCTTTTGGCCATCGTATTAGTTCCAAAGTGAATAGCAAATTGGATTATAAAGCTGGGCATATTTATAGCAGCATTTGATTTTAACTACACAGAGTGCACCTATTTACTGAGACATTATTTTAATATCTCAGTATCCATGGAAGGCTTAATACAAATCCTATTAAGAACTCTGTTGACAAGAGAATTTCCCAGTAGAAAAGTTAGTTCAAAGTAACATGTCAGCAAAGCAGTAACTTCATCACTGTGCCTGGATTGGAAAAGGGAGAGAGGGATTCTGAATTATTTATCGGAGGATTAAAAAAAATTCTCTCAAAAGTCGACTAAATATAAAAAAGTGGTAGATTTTCATTTAATCATCAAATTATTAAGGAAGTTATAAGTCCTGATTCTGTCTTTTTAGATTAATATGGCATAGTAGGCTAAAATATTAAATCATAATAACAAATATGGTTCCTAAATGACCATTAGGAAGAGATAAAATAAGGGAGGAGTAGACCTACATATTAAATTACTGTTAAATATTTGATAATAAATCCTAAAAGATACAAGCTACTCTTCACCTTTGGTATTGCAAAAAAAAAACGTTTAATTTCTATAGCATTTGAATTCTTGCATAACGTTATCTTGGCTCTCCATCTGCTTATTGTGATGGCTTTATTATACTATAAAAACTTTGATTTCTCTAAATCTTACATGATTATAATAGTCTTTCATAATAAATCCAAAGAATAAGTTTTAGTATTTATATTATGATCAATCTTTTAATCACTCTGTACTCTCAAATGCAGAGAAAAGGGCAATTAATGCAATCACACATGTAATACCATATGTTCAGTTAATCACTCTCTCATCCCATATGTAATTATATTGTGAAAGAAGTCTACTGAGAAATGTTAAAGACTTACAGAAATGTAAATACTTTATTTATACAGTTAGAACTAATTGGATTCTGAATACTAATATCAACATAATATACATTTTCACATATAGATACTACTGTAAATTATATGTTATATAAGAAAATATTTGATAATAAATAAAAAAATAAAAGCAAAACAGCTAATAAAAGTTGACGAAGAAAAATTGAGAAGGAACAAAAGAAATATGAGATAACTTCTTCATCTGAATTACTTTTTTACACTATTTTTTCCCTAGTTGTTTGAGTGAAATGGTAACATCTCTAGCCTGGGAAACTTATTCTATGGGTCAGCTCTGGATAAGGCAGCTGAATGATTTACACATAGTCATGATTTTAGAAGTTTAGAATCACGTCCCAGTTTTTTGCTCCCTTTTCAAACCGCTTTGTGCTATAATCCTACTGTTGTCTTGTTTAAATCTAAACTTTAAACTTTGGCTGTATTAGTACATAATGTCTGTGACTATTGGAGAGTGAATTTAGTTAACCATAGATACTTATTTAATGCCCAGGAGCAGGCTTTTTGACATATTTTCCATATGAAATACACTCTTAGGAATTCACTGAAATTGCTCATGGCAGAGGTATGCACCTTCCCAGTGGCTGCTGGTGAGCTTCCTATTTAACAACTGCCACTACTTACATATTGTACAGCTACCATGGTAAAACTCATACCAAGTTTTCCTAACCATAATTAAATAATTACTAAGTTTTATGACTTTCTTCTTGTAGAAAATGGAATACTTAAAAAAGTCATTATTGAGAAAACTTACTGTGAATCTGACATTGCACGTTGTGGTAGGCGGAAGAATGGCCCCCACAGGTGTCTGTGTTGCTGTCCCTAGAATTTATGTGTATGTTGCCTCATATGCATATGTTACTTTGTATGGATGTCATATGTCCAAAGGGACTGCAGATCTGATTGAGTACCTGCAGGGGGGGAGATTGTCCTGGATTATTCAGGTGGGTCCAGTCTAATCACATGCACCCTTAAAAGCAGAGAATCCTTCCTGGCCGTGATCAGAAAGGGAGATGTGACTATGAAAGAATGGCCAGAGATGCAACTTTGTTGGCTTTCTTGGAGGAAAGGGGCCAGGAGCTAAGGAATGCAGGTGACCTCCAGAAGCTAGAGAAGTCAAGGAAGTAAATTTTCCTTTGTAGCCTCCAGAGAGGAACACAGCTTTTCCAACCCTTCAGTTTTAGCCCAGTGAGACCCATATCAGGCTCCTAATCTATATAGAACTATCAGATAATAAAACTGTGTTGTTTTTAGCTGCCACTTTGTGATGCTTTATTACTGTAGCAATATAAAAAAAATATACCCCAAATACTAACTGTGCAAAATTCTTTGTACCTACATTCTATTTTCATTATTACCTTTCAGGATCCAGGTTCCCAGGGTCCTTATCAATACCCTCTCCACCTCCTTATATATGGTTCAGATGAAAGAAAGTATGGGGCCTAATCTATTTAAGAATGAACTCAATATGGGAAAGCCTACTCTTTGTTGTGCATTTAAAGTCATTTTGATATATACTGATTTCTCTTATTTTTTTTTT